GTTGACCTGCTGAAATACGAACTTCTCTTTAAGGCCCGTCTGGATCAGCGAAACCTCCAAATTTTCCCGCAGGATGTTGATGTATGTAGGAATCTGCCACCATGCTTCACCGTGCCTTGGATGTGGTGGCTCTGAAGGTCCTCACCCGGTCTGCACCACACACGTACCTGCCGTTTTCGGTTAAACAGCTCGAATTTTAATTCGTCCATTCAGAGAACCATTTTCCATATATCTAGGGGCTTATCAGCATGCTCTTTAGCAAACTTAAGCCGTTTGGCTTTGTTTGCCTTGCGCTTCCCGGCAACTTTGCTATTCAACTCCTGTGCTAGGAGACGGCGACGAACAGTTCGACCGGAAACTGATAGCTGAAGGGTTTCCTGTATCTCGCGGACGATTACCTTCGGGTTCTTCTTGACTTCGCACATGATCTTGGTGTCCGTTCTCGCATCCGTTTTGCACTTCGTGTTTCTGCCAGGGCGATCCACCACTGATCTGAACGTTTTTAGTTTCAGAAGAATATTTCCTACCGCTGCCTTGCTGATACTGTACGTCCTAGCGACAGCTCGGTGCGATACACCGTTTTTCACATCCCGAACCACCAATTTTCGGATACACAAGGGAATGCGTTCTCCGATTTTTTTGACGTAGGACTACGTCTGTGATTTCTATATGGGGGTACACTTTGTAAAAAACTAAAATGGAACATGTAACAAAATTATGAAAGATTTTGAACGTTAATAACTCAGCTGTCCCTAAATCAATTTCAATAATTTTATCACCAATCGATCAGAAATAGGGTAAATGTTGGCTTCGGCACCCATTGACTGTTTTCGGCAATCAAAATTTAAACGATAATTTCACTATGTTTTCCCATCAACACACTTCCCTGAATGTATTCAAACGATTCTTTAGTCTTTCAGCTTCAATCTGATTATATTTGTACGACCGAGCAATCCTATTATGCCAGATTTTTCTTCAAATGAAGTATACGCACTACAAAATGGGGCTGATTTCGAGTTGCCGATAATAGAACAGCTGGTTAACACGCAGTTCTAATGGGAAGGTTGCCGAAGAAAAAGAGGCTGCCGACAATAGTCACACTCACCTGAGAAGTTTGGAGCGTTGTAAAATCGCTTTCAAACCGGTTTGAAAAATTCTGTCGATTGGAATGGATAGAGAAGCAAGCAGCAGATGAATGTTAACAAATAGACACGTGATATATGTGCGTAACGCTGACAAAATGCTAATAGAAGTGCGGACGCTGCTTAGATTGACGAGAATACGTAAATTCCCCTATATAAAACTTTAAGACTTTATCATTTTTCAAAATGTCACTATTGAAAATTTCACGAATGTGCAACTGTTTAGTTAAAACTATCACCGATTGCCTGCGAAAAGCGATTTCCCTAACACAGATTTCAAAGTTGAATTCCATCCGGTCTCACCAAACGGTGTTCATTCAACCACCGCGTGGTAAGTGGTGCTGTTCTCCAGTACACAACTCATAGAGATGAACTAGCCAACGGCTACAAATCTCTCTAATTAAGACAAAAAAAAAATCCAGAACACAACGAAAGGCTCCCCGCAAGCAGCTAGCTATCAAGGCTGCCCTCAACCGCTGATCGGATTCAGTTCCAATCACCGTGTGTGGTGGTGTCCGGTCGTCGGCATCAGCAGCAGTGCTTTCGGCACGTGGCGTTGAACATTGTTCTCCAGTACACAACGAAAGGCTGCCTGCAAGCAGCGAGCTGCTGCGCACTTGAGCATCCATAGAAGAAGGAAGAAGCCGCACCGCTATTGATCGGAATCAGTAGCTCTTCGTGAGTCGCTGTGGGCCATCTCTGTCGAGCGCGTCATACTAAAGAGTACAAACAGAGAGAACCCCGCTCAAATTCCTATTCCTACACAAAACACAAGCTCCTGCTGCAGTTAACAAATAAGATTTACTATAAAAGTTCACGTAGTCCTACGTCACCATTGGGTACTACCCCGTAAGGCTGTTCCTTGTAGTTTTTCAACTGAATCAAAAGCGATTACGTGTACAAATAATAGAGCTAATATACTATAGAGAAAGAATAGCGCTGGTGTTCCCTTTGTTCCGATGTTGAATAATACCGGGTACAGAACTGTCAAACTGCATAGTTTTTCTCACTTTGACAGTTGTGTCCCTATTAGCTGTAAGGAAAAGATGTTTCGACAGCGACGACAGCGCTATTCTTCCTCTATAGTTTATTAGCTCTATTGTACAAATGCATCAGGTCGAGTCGTTTGCTTCAAACATGTCAAAATATCAAAAAATAAACAGTTGAGGGGTTTTCCAATGGAAACTTATCGAAAACATGTTGATTTTTGAAATGGGCACTTTTTTGTCACCGATTTTTTTTAGTATTGCCTAAGTGAAAATTAAACAATATAAAAAAATAGATATCAAAAAAGACTACAGTGTGTTTACTTTAATTTGAACCAAATAAATGAGCAAAATTCAAAAAATTATAATGTGGGCACTTTATTTTGCCAATCAGTGTATCTTTAAAGAAGCCCTAAAGTTAAAAGAAAGTCCCGAAATTTTAATAAAGTTTCCTACAATTTCATTTACTTCATCGAAGTTCCTCTAATTTGTACAAGTTTCTCACTTCTACGAAGTTTTTCAGAATTATATTGTAGCTCTCCAAAATTATATTAGTTTCTTTGCATTTCTTTAATTTCTCTTGAACATCCCCAAAGCTACTGAAGTTTTAAGAAGATCAATAAAGGTCAAGAGAAATGTCCAAACTTCAATGAACTTCTCCAAATTTTTAAAATTCTACAAAGTTTGATGTACACTCCCGATCATAACTTCAAGGACACCCCCAAAAAAACATGACAAATTTGTTATGTTCATATCTCTGTCATGTTACGTGCAATTTTCGTTCACTTTAGATCATTTGAAAGGTATTGAATGGAACTTTTCTTCGTAGGCAAATTGTTCAATCTAATTTTCAAATTTTGTGTGCTAAAAGTTCACCCAAAGTTACAATATTTTTCAAAATTTATTCTGAAGTATCATGACTGATTTTCTCAGAATTGGGTTGGCCAAATTTTGAAATAAAAGTAGTAGTAGAACAATTATGCTATACCATTCAAATAACCTTTGGAGATCGAAAATTGAACGTAAAATGAGAGATCATTGAACAAAACATATTTGCATGGTTTTTTGGGGGTGTCCTTAAACTTATGATCGGTAGTGTAGTTCTACAAAATTGACTGCATTTCTACGAAGTTCATTGCAGTTTTAAGAAGCTCGCTGTGCTTTTCCTATATAATTTGTTGCACTTCTAGAAAGCTACCAGAGCTTCTACGCAGTCCCTAAAAGTCTAAGAAGTTTTCTAAAGTTCCATAAAGTTTCTGAAGATGTATGAAGTACTTTGATATTCTAAAACATTTCTTAAACTTTAGCGAAGTTTCTCAACCTTTAAGGGAGTTTCCGGAAAGCAAATGACGTTCTCTTATGTCTCTTACTTTGTACGAATTGTCATTGACTTCTAAGAAGGCCTCTGTAAATAATCAGTTTTATAAATCTGAAATAGGTGTTCACTTTCCCCACCCGCATAATTTTAAATGTAGAAGTGTGACATGTGAAGACATTTACTACCGATAGTTTATGTATTGTCAGTTATGGCATGGCCTTCTCAAGTTCAACATCCTATTAACGACTATGACATTGCCCCTAGAGCTTCTTCGTGAGAATCTGAAAAATTTCTCGCTATTTCAGACTTTATAGGGGAAATGGCTCTAATGTTGGCCTATGGATCTAAGATTGGGCCCATCGCTAAAAATCTGCTATTTATCAATTGTATCTAGATGAACGCGTCATTGGGACGGTACTAATGGATATTTTTGGTTTGCTATTGAAAATTTAGTCGATTGCTGAATTTATGCATGGGCCCAAATAAGGGACACTTAGGCCGACATTACATACATTTCCGCTATACCTTCAAAAATGCGCCCAGATTTTGGACATAGATTATGATGAAGTTTCTCAAAGGATGGGCGGCAGTGAATAAGACCAAAAGTGCTCGCAGCAAAATCGAACCTTCATCATCTGTAAAACAGTTCTACTGTATGGACACACTGTAAGAAACAGGTTAAAGTGGTTTCTTAAAAGATGTTTGAGATGGTGAAATTATGATCCTGGATGATTTGTGGTACAAAATGCTAACGCCACTGAACGGATCGAAGCCAAAATAGTCATGTTTCGAGAATCGAGAATCAGCTGGTTGCTGTACGGGAGAAGTGTTCCGAAAAGTACTTCGACTAGATGCTGTAACAGCATCTATCTCTGGAATTCCGTATCAAGAAAAAGAGAATTTGCAAAATATTTTTCGGAAGATTGCTGTCTCAATTGGCTGTGAACAGAAATTTCTTCCGTTGGTTGATCTTCAACGATACCCGGGACGATATATATTTGGGGGCCCTTGAGTGCACCATTGTCAACTTTTTCAGTCATAAATTTTCTTCAAACCAGACCTCTTAACGGAAAGTTTATCGCCCAATTTGTCTGATGATAAACATTCCGTTTCATTCTTATATCGCATAACTTTAGTAAGGAGACCCTTTCAAACACAAAACGTTTAAGCATAAATTGTTTACATCCTACTTGCAATTGGTGAAAACGTCTTAGAGCATCTTCTGGCTTCATTCTCGATTAATTTTCCCGGCAAAAATCGCATGCTTGGAAAAGGGTCTACCTCCTGTCAAAGACCTTCGTCACCCTATATGTCACCTAATAAAACATGCTAAATTTATCATCATACAGATGAACCGATCAACAATGATAGGCCCTTTTCTCGAGTTGTGCGAGAATACCTATTTCAGTTACAGAATTTACTGAATCACTTCCTTCCTGAAAATACCTGATAACCATTACCGCTCGATACTTCCCACCTGACAAATTGATTGAGTTATGATTCAACCCCGACTAAACGCTCGTATTTTTCGCTCTGTTTTCGCTCAATTCCCAGATTGTTAACCAGCCAATCATCGATCGTCCGACCGACAAGTGAACCGTAATAGGAACCGAGCAGAGAGTATTCATAAACGCTTTCGCTTGCAAGCGGAACACAAAAGACATGTATCACATGTGTGTCTGAACAAGCAAGCAGCAACGCAAAGATAAGAATGAGTGAAGGAAGAAAAAAGACGCTGAATAAAAATGATAACGTAATATAAATATAAATGTGAAGACAGAAAAAAAAAACAAGAAGACCAACAACCATTCAACATACATGAAGTTCAAATTTGGACTCGGGAGCGCCAGCAGTGAGCAGTACTACTCGCCATTCGTCGATGTAATAATATGTGCAGTTTCGCCGGGCTCGATCGTTTCAGAGAGGGCAAACAATTCGGGAATCAAATTTCCACTTCCGATTCGAGTGCAACGAGTGAACCATTCGCATAGTAGGTAGATGCGCAGAAGTGATTGAGTGAGCCGACGGATCCCGTTACAGAACGTTGTGCCTCGCGAGATAATGAATGGAACCGTCTGTCTGTATGGGGTGTTGCTGTTCCTACTGAGTCAGACCGTGAAACCGTCGCGACAGGTGAGACTCCGAAACTGTGTTATCAACCCGGTGTTTGCTAACCTGCTCACGTTTGCTTTGCAGTTTCATCATCACCGTAGATCCGTCGCCGATTCCTCCGGGGATGACCATCATGATGACAGCTACGTCGTAGGGGTGGTCGAATTTCGGCCGGAATCGTTCGATATCGACATACGACGCAGGACGGAGCTGCACCTGGATGCTTACGAAGAGCTGATCAGGTCCGATGAGGCGAAGGTGAGTAAACGGTTTGTGGATGCAATTGTTGAATCAATTCGTTAGCACGTAGTTTATTGGTGAATCATTGGGATTGTTGCGTGCTAAATATTTAAATTCGAATGATTGGTACTGTTCTCGGCATTGCTCATAATCATAGACCAGATTTTGTTATCAAGAGTCATGGTTTATTTTTGCTATGCGCTGTTATGTTATGTTCGAAGTGTTGACGCAGTAGCTATTTGTCATAGATCATATGAATTACTTAAAAAACAAACCCAACCATCACAATAGGAAAATACTGATAACCAGAGGGCTATTGCTGAGCCACACATTGAAATCTTCATGTTGATGGAATACAGGTATACCTCGATATAACGTAACTGTCACTTTTGACTTCCATCGTCGATATCTCACAAATAACAATTCAATTATAAAAATTGGCATGACCCATATATGAAAGATTGTCTCACTTAAATTTGAGAGATGGAAAATTTTCAAATTAAACTGATATAGTACCAGATTTATTTCTGACAGACCAGGAATAAATTTTGACAAACATCTTCTCGAAAATCAGATGATCAACAACAGAGGGATTTTTGACCATTATAATGTCGTTTTCGTTTTTACTACACTAGACCGGTGTAGTGTAAGCAGCAATAAGCGCGAGTCATTCCAGCTCATAATCATTTGTTTGTAAACAAAGATGCAACCGATAGCTACACCCTAATTTTTTTCGGTGTCCGGTGGTGTAGCACCGGTATAGCTACACCGCAAAAACGAAAACGACATAAAAGAGTCAAATTCGAAGACATGTTGAATTCGAAGTGAATGTAAGGGGATTGACAGCTGTAGGATGCCCCTGCTGATAGCAGCATACTATGGTAAAGATCTAAGAGGAAGAGAAGACAACTCTGGCTTTTTTTTTGTCTGTAACGCGTTCTTCTCCTGTCGTTGAAACGACCGTGCAAAAACTATTTCTATTTTTGTCAATAGATTACCTGTTGTAAAATTTCTCGCCTTTCTATACGTTCGCCCGACCAATCAGGCGGTGGTTCGCGTTTAACAAATTGTCTCCTCTTCCTCTTAGGTAAAGATAACTTTTATAACTAATACATACATTTATTTGTACAACATCACATTTAAGATAAGACATAATCAACAATAGTACGTCACAATACTCGGTTTGCGGCTGCCGCTCTCCATCCTCCGTCATGCCCAATGCTCGCTAGATCACGATCTACCTGGTCCGCCCATCGTGCTCTCTGCGCTCCACGCCTTCTTGTGCCAACCGGATCAGTAGTGAACACCAACTTTGCAGGATTGTTGTCCGGCATTCTTGCAACATGCCCTGCCCACCGCATCCTTCCGGCTTTGGCCACCTTCTGGATGCTGGGTTCGCCGTAGAGTGCAGCGAGCTCGTGGTTCATTTTTCGCCACCACTCACCGTTCTCCTGCACACCGCCGAAGATCGTCCTTAGCATACGTCGCTCGAAAACTCCGAGTGCTTGCAGGTCCTCCTCGAGCATAGTCCATGTCTCGTTTCCATAGAGGAACACCGGTCTTATTAGCGTTCTGTACATGGTACATTTGGTGCGGGGGTGAATTTTCGTAGTTTCTTCTGGAGCCCGTAGTAGGCACGACTTCCACTGATGATGCGCCTTCGTATTTCACGACTCACATTGTTGTCAGCCGTCAGTAAAGATCTAATGTGAACGAATTCCTGCACTACATCGAAGGTATCGCCGTCTATTGTGACATTACTTCCTAGACGAATCCTGTCATGTTCGGTTCCGCCTACTAGCATGTACTTTGTTTTTGACGCACTCACCACCAGTCCGACCTTTGCTGCTTCGTGTTTCAGGCGGGTGTATAGTTCTGCCACCGTTCCAAATGTTCTTGCGATAATGTCCATGTCGTCCGCAAAGCACACAAATTGACCGGATTTCGTGAAAATCGTACCCCCATCGCATTACACCTTCTAGAGCGATGTTGAAGAGTAGGCATGGGAGTCCGTCACCTTGTCGCAGTCCCCGGCGAGATTCGAATGAACTGGATAGTTCACTCGAAACCCTTACGCAGTTTTGCACACCGTCCAGCGTTGCTTTGATCAGTCTGATCAGCTTCCCAGGAAAACCGTTCTCGTCCATGATTTTCCATAGCTCTGTGCGGTCGATACTGTCGTATGCCGCCTTAAAGAAAGAAGCTCTTCTGGAGGAAAGTTTTAAGTCGGAAAAACCTCCGGGGAACTTCCATGAAAAAATATTGAGAAGCATCTTGTGAAAATTTAAAGAAATTACCTAAACAACATTGCAAAAAAACAAATAACCTCTCTATGCTATCATGGTCCTGGATCCAGGGTCGTTGTGGAAATTAATGTGCACACTATCGCTAATGTGAGAAAATTTAAAACATTTACTTCCTCCAACCAGCAGAGCTTGGCCCTCCGAGCAATGTATGGATGCAGTATTTGTCTGCTTGGACTAAACTGCCCTCACATGAATTCTTTCCCAACCAATCTCAAGCACTCTCTTTTCCACCTGCTTACAGTCCACCGACATCATCGTCTTCCCGGAGCTCACCCTCAACACCATCTCGGACCCGGTCTACGTCCCGGACCCCAGCCGGAATGTCATCCCCTGCCAGGAAGACGCACCCCGGGACCTGCTGTCGCACCTCTCCTGCCTGGCAGCCGAAGTCGGCAAATACATTGTGATAAATCTTTCGGAGATCTTCGACTGCGAATCGATTCCCACGGAAGATCCCCGACCATGTGGCCCCCACGGGTTCCACCGGTACAATACCAATCTAGTTTTCGATCGAAACGGAGCTGTGATAGCGCGGTACCGCAAGTTCAACCTCGCCGGTGAGAACGGTACCAATCGGACGTACGTGCCGGAGATTGTAACATTCGAGACTGACTTTGGGGTGACGTTCGGGTTGTTCACCCGTTCTGATGTGTTGTTTGCGAGGCCGGCCCTGGAGCTTGTCAACCGCGATGTCAAGCATTTGATCATGCCGGCTATGTGGGGCTTGGAACTGCCGTTCCTCACATCGACGCAAGCCTACGAAAGCTGGACATACGCGAACAATGTGAATCTGATCGTGGCGGGAGCAAACTACGAAGCAAATGGCAGTACCGGAACGGGGGTCTTCAACGGTAGGAACGGAGCTGTACTATCGTTCGTGACCGGTGAACCCATCAGGTGAGTTGCCGCGTGTCTACGTAAACTGAATTTCTGCTAACTTTTACTTTTTTTTTTAGGAGACTGTTCCCCGTTAGGGTGCCCAAGAACCCCGAACATCTCACACGGAATCACATTCCATTGGATAGTTCCGAAACGGAATCCGGTCGACTGCACGGCAAATTTCTCGAAGGCATCCACATTTCCAGTGACGCCCTGGAGCAGTTCACCACGATGCAAATCAATCCGGAGCGCTATCACGACCACATCGGGCAGATCATCTGCAATGGGGACTTCTGTTGTGACTTCAGCGTCACGTTGACCATAGTTCCGGACCGGGACTTAACCCATCACTACCGGTTCGCCGTGTTCGACGGGACTCGACGGTTTTCCAGCCATGAATATGCTCACGTATCCACCTGTGGGATCATTACGTGCCGAAATGAATCGCTAGTTAGCTGCGGTCTCCCGATGAACGAAAACTCCAACTACCTCGAATTCAACGACATCGTCATCGCCGGTAGGTTCCGTGCGAATGGAACACTGGCCATGGCCAACTCCCTGGACGATATGCTGCATCCGCTGGATGTGCATCAGTACACGTTCTACTCTACGGTGAAGTGAGTTTCCGTTGGTTGAACACTTCCCAGCACTTAGCTATATTTTCTTTCAGTTACACATCGAATCAGCAGGACGTTCAACTCACCCTGTCCAGCGGCACCGTGGCCAATCTGCAAACGTTCGCCATCTACGCGATCAACCACGAGAACTTTGAGTACTTCAACCCGATCGAAGCTCCGCCGGAGCCGACTACGGAGGGTTCTTTTGAGATGGAGGACGATGCGCGTGGTGAAGGCCATGACGGTAGTGGAAGTAAGGTAGTGACTTCCGGTACGGTTGCACTGCTACTGCTGCTGCTGGTCAGCACGGTACTTCAGCGGCCAGTGTGAACGGGTCTGTGAAGTTGTTTTGTATATATTGTAACATAAATGTAGGATAGTTGAAAGTGCATGCCAAAACGTTGCTTATATAGGAAGTCAGTTAGAAGGTATCCCAAAAAAGATTTCTAAACATATTTAACAGAGAACAGAGAAGATAGTTACCGCCTTTCTGCTAAAGCGAAAGATGTCGATCAAGTAATAATTTACGTATTAGATAGGTATTTAAATTGTTCGGAAAAGTCGAGGAAAGCAAATATGGCTATTTTAAAAATAAAAGTCATAGATTTTATCAAATAGTGGGGATTGTTTTTTTTTTATTTTCACGGCCTTCGATAACCGGTAATTTGTGATGTAGTAAATTACTCAGTCAAATATCAGTTACGTATTCACCCTTATTCTTGTTTTCGTTCGGAACGTATTTTCCATACAAAAATAGGTTCTTGGATGGAAAATACGGTTCGAACGAAAATAAGAATGAGGGTGATTTAAAATTTCTGTTAATATCTGCTTCTGAACATGGTGCTCATAATTTCATTCGTCCTGTGTGGACGTGCACTTAAAAAGTTGGCTAACTTCCATAGCATAAATATGATGTAACACAAAGCAGTGTTTTTTAATACCCCCACCCCTTTATCACGCACTTTTCCAATACCTAATAGGGGAAATGCAGGTAATGTCGGCCTAAGTGTCCCTAATTTGGGCCCATACATAAATTCAGCAATCAACTAAATTTTCAATAGCAACCAAAAATATACATTAGTACCGTCCTAATAACGCGTTCATCTAGATAAAATTGATAAATAGCAGACTTTTAGCGATGGGCCCAAATTAGGGGCATGTAGGCCGACATTACCTACATTTCCCCTACATGGTGGTTACCGCATTGCCAGACTACCTCAACCCCCTCTTGCATCACTTATGGCGGTAAGCTCCAACTCGGATTAACTTTTAATACCGTCCCTGTTTGTATGATCTGAAAAATGTTTGCTCAGAGTTATGTTGATTAACTCTGATGTCGACATCAAACCAGCCGGACATTCTTGATCGGGATTTAATCCGAGGAAAATACCGGTTGGAGCTTACCACCATTAATATTTGAATGGGTCTTTACTGCTACACTCTAAAATATCTTCACGTCCGATTTACGTGAAATATCACGTACCTGATCTGTATTCAGAAAACCTCAAATGTTACGTGATGTTAGTAACTTTGACCTACATTGCATGTCATGTCCACTAAAAATGTTGGTGAAATCGACCGCATATTCACGTAAACAGATTTCGTGTATTTGTGTGTGTGTGTTTGGGACTTCGATATTTCCGCAAACCGGGATTTACGTGATTTTCAAGTACGCAAACAAAATCAATATGGCGTCACCGAGCGTGGTGGAAGAACATTTCAAAGATTCAAAATGTTCCAGCAGCTTGCTGCAAATATTGGACGGTAATTTGATTCTTTTACATTCATTTTTCTATATTTATAATTTCAGACGGCATCAGCATTTTGAGTCTGCAAACCTCGCTGCAAACAGTTGTTAAAATTTTGTCAGAAATAAAAAAAAACTCATACGCGTTTCTACCTCATAATAATCAATTAGTCAATAATTTACAATTTTTTAAGTAGATGTAAGCATTAATTTCAACACGTGGATTTTATATCAGCCCGATAAAATTGCATAATATTGACTGCTTTTATATATACGTTCAATTATTATCCTTCAAAATTCACGTACAAATTACGTGAAAAGCATTTTAAACAAAGCGTTATGTCACGTAAAAGTTACCAGTTGTTCAGGTAGTTTTCACCCCGATTTCACGTAAGCAGTATGTGGAAATCACGTGCAATTCCGGTAAAAGTTACGTGAAAAATAGGGTGGACGAAAACCACCTATGTTTTCACGTAAATCGGACGTGAAGATTTTTCATATAGAAGATTGATGGTGCACTGTACCAAAACATCATCCTCAGTTCAAATGAATCTTTAGACCATTCAAAGCTAAACATCGAAATCGCTTTTTCAGATGATAAATTGTGTGCCGTTCAAAATCCGCACACACTCAAATTGCTTTAACTTTTGATCCGTTGGGTAAAATTAATTGAAATTTTGCGTAGAAATAGTTTACAGTGTATTGTTTACACTCTGTGAGTTGATTTAATCATGTGCGCACAAAATTTCAAAATGGCGACGAAAGAACATTGCGTGCGCGAAAAAGTCAAGTGATCTGTCGCATCGTGCCATCAAAAAAAAATTGGGAATCGCGAATTCCACGGTGTCTGGTATCACCGGTTCGAAGAACGTCTGACTGTTGATTGGAAGCAAAGATCCGGAAAATAAGCCGTCAGGTCAACTTGAACGATCACAAACGCGTGGTTGGGGCCTTTAAACGGACACCGAACGCCTCAGTTCTAGATGTGGCATGTGAGCAAGACTTTCGTGCAGAATACCAAAACTCGAGCTGGACTACGTACGTTTAAGGTTTAGAAGTCCCCAAACCGTGACGAGAAACAGAATACCGTCGCAAAAAGCCGTGCCCGGAAGATGTACGACCAGAAGTTAACGAAACCACACTGTTGCGTAATGGATGACGAGACATATGTGAAGGCGGACTCCAACCAGATTCCAGGAAACTTGTATGTGACTGCCAAGGATAAGTGTGATGTTCCCGAGAACCTCCGGACACAGAAGATGTCGAAGTTCGCCAAGAAGTTCTAAATTTGGCAAGCGATTAGTACTGGCGGAAAAAGGAGTACACCTTTCGTTACCGCAAGCACCATGAATGGACAGGTGTATTTGGAAGAGTATCTGCAAAAGTGGCTTCTCCCTCTCCTGAAGGCTCACGACGGTCCGACGATCTTCTGGCCGGATTTGGCAGCATGATACTACCATAGAGGTAACTCTAAGACAAGAAGATCCCGAAATAACGTGCTCAACTTTTTGGCTCAGCTCTGGTACTCTCTTCGGTCCCAAGCTAGGTAGTACTAGAATTTTGACTAGAATAGGGTACGTTAATCGTTTACTTGGGACCAATAGGCTACTAAAGTGGTGAGCCAATTTAAAATCGTTAGTTTCGTATTGATTGTTGATACTACACGATGGACGTGCTAGAGTGGAATAAGGCGAATGATGTCGATTTCGTGCCGAAAGATCTGAACCCCCCAAACACTCCGGAACCGCGCCCAATAGAAAAATACTACACACTTAGAAAAATTTACGTAAATTTAGGGGCTCTTAGACTGACATATACGAGAGTCAATTTTGACATAAAATTGAGTCATAATAGACGCGAAATTCAGCTCAATCAAACGTACTTTCGAACTGGATTCGGTCACGTGTAAAATTAGGTATTTCTAAGTGTGTAGGTCATAATGAAAGTGCACCTTCTAAAATGACCTAAAGTGGTGAAGAATGTAGAAGAAAAGAAAGTTGAGAATGAATTTTGTGTGTGCGGATTTTAAACGGTACACCCTTTAGCTGCAAGCGGATGACGGTTGTTTTGTAATCAGATGATGCTCCTCTCGAATACATTGATACGAGAAGTGAATGGACCTCAGTACTACCAACAATCAATTCGAAACTAACGATTTTAAATTGGCTCATTACTTGACTAGCCTATTGGTCCCAAGCAAATCGATTAACGTATCCCATTCTAGTATAAATTCCAGTACTACACTATGTTTGTTTTGATTAACTATGAAAGTTTGACAGCTACATGAAGGGTTCGTGGATTTTCCTTTGTTTCGAGGGGTGCATCGATTAGCTTGGGACCGAAGATAGTACCAGAGCTGAGCCAAAAAGTTCTTCGGGACCTTGTGTTCTTAGAGTTAGCTCTAGGGTATTTTTGCGACCGGGAAGTTCAATTTAGCCTTCTGTCAACATGCACATTATTGAATGGTTTCAATAATAAATTTGATGCTCTCCAAAGTATTCTTAAGAACAGATCTTGAAGATCTACAGGCTCAATAAAGTCTTGAAGCATATCTTTAAAATATTTTTAAGTTCGTGGAATGCAAGTAAGCCTTCTGTCGACATGCACATCATCGAATGGCTTCAATAAGATATTTTATGCTCTCCAAAGTATACTGGAGTTAAGATCTTGAAGATTTGCAGGCTCAATGAAGTCTAAGAATTTTTAAGTCCTGAAAATATTTATTAGTTCGGTAAGTTCAGGGGTGAGTCTTTGTATAGGAACCTCAAGAAAGTCTGGAATCTTCGGGAACATCTGCAACATCTGCAACCTTTAAAGCACAAACGAAGTGACAGACGACTAACTGGCGAAGAAATCCATTTAAATAATGTGGTTCACTGTAATAGAATTTTCTTGGAAGCTTGCGCCATCATCCACCAGATGGGTTAGTTTTTTTGTTTTGATTTGAACAAAGTTGATTTTGTGTACAATGATTCTTTGACAGTGTGCAAAGAGTGCGTATCATTTTGTCATTTTTTTATGCATTTTAGTTTTGAGTAGAGTGAAAGAGATAGAACCAAAACATTCTAGTACATTTGGTGAAAATGCTAGTTCAATCTAGTAGTAGTGTTGCCATGTGGTACAATCCAGTAGTAGTGGTGTTGCCATGTGGTACACTGAAAAATTGCAATAGCAGGTTAGTCACCAAAGTTTTCGAGCCGCTCCGTCTGTCACTTCGTTTGTGCTTTAAAGTGGCGCCGGTGGTGGTGTAGTGATAAGCGTGATTACCTCTCACCCCAAAAGGCCTGGGTTCAATCCCAGTCGGCGCCGCCGGGATTTTCTGAGGCATAAAATCTCTGATCACGCCTTCCTTCGGGAGGGAAGTAAAGCCGTTGGTCCCCAGTTCATGAGTTGATGGGTCGATAGAAAAGGGTCCAGGATTGGGAGCTGCCCTCCTGGTGTCGGTAGCATTGGTACTCAGTATGAAAAACAAGATCGACGGAAAACAAATTAAGAAAAAAAATCTCAACATTTGTCAGAAACCTCTCGAATCAAAGTCAGAAACGTCTGAAAACTCTGTCGAGAACTTCTGGAATCGCCGTTGAAAACAGTTTGGAATCTCCGTCACGAATGTCTGGAATCACCTTCGAGAATATGAGGAATCTCCGTCGTGAGCGTTTGGAATCATCTTCGGGAACGTATCGAATATAAGTCAGAGACGTTTCAAATCTCCATTTGTGAAACTCCATCGAAAAGCTTTGGAATCTCCTTCGGGAACGTTTGGAATTATCTTTGGGAACGACTAGAATCTCCGTCATAAACATCTGGAATCTCCGTCGGAAGCATCTTGAATTCAAGTCGGGAACGTTTTGAATCTCCATCAGGAACGTCTGAAACCTCAGTCGGGAAAGACTGGAATCCCCATATAAATGGTTTGGAATTCCTGTTGGGAATGTCTGGAATCGATGTCTGGAAAATCATTGTTCGGCGAAAAACCTATCTTGAAACAAAGTTGAGGACGTCTAGAGTCATCATCAGAAATCCCTGGAATCCTCGGTTACGAACGTCTAAAATTCTTTTGGAATCTCCGTCGTGAACGCCTGTAATCCAAGTTTGTTATGGTGTTCAATTTCCATCGGGAAAACCTGGAATCCCAGTCGAAACACAATAGAATCTAATTCGGGAGCATCTGGAATCATCTTCGGAAACGTATGCAACCTTTGTCAGGAACGTTTGTAATCTCCGTTGAATGCGCCTCGTATCCAAGATGGGAACGAGGGAAATCTCCATCGAGAATATCTGGAACGTTTTCAATCTCCATCAGGAACTTCTGAAACCTCAGTTGGGAAATACTGGAATTTCCATATAAATCGTTTGGAATTCCTGTTGGGATCGTCTGGAATCCATGTCCGAAAAGTCTTTGATCGGGTAAATTTGGAATCCCAATTGATAACGTTTAGAATATTCGTCGAGTATGTCTGGAACCTTTGTATGGAGCGCGTGGAATCTCCGGTCGTCTTGAAACCAAGTTGGGGACGTCTAGAATCACCACAAAAAGCCTCTGGAATTCTCGGTTACGAACGTCTTAGATCGTTTTGGAATGTCCGTCGTGAACGTCTGGAATCCTAGTTTGTGATAGTCTTCAATTTCTATCGGGTAAATCTGGAATCCCAGTCGAAACAGAATAGAATCTAATTCGGGAGCATCTTGAATCATCTTCGGAAACGTATGAAACCTTTGTCGGGAATGTTAGTAATCTCCGTTGAATGCGCCTCGAATCCAAGATGGGAACGAGGGAAATCTGCATCGAGAATATCTGGAATCCCCGTCGAGCACGCCTGGAATCATCTTCGGAAACGTCTGGAACCTTCGTCGGAAACATCTCAAATCTATGTCCGCATCGTCTGAAACCTTCGTCTGTAAAGAGCGGCGCAATAGGTTATAACACGCGGAACGAGGAACTACCGATTGCCAGCGATAACAAAGAGAAACACACGTTAATCGGTTAGAGTACTAATAGCGAATGAGTTTTATTTTTTTATTTATCTGTATTTGAATACAAAGGTGCGCCAAAAATGCATGGGTTTCAAGTTCAAAGTATGTAATAAAGAAAGGTAAGGCGAGGGATGGTTGGTTACATGTATGCACTCTTATTAGTCTGGATCTCTTGTGGATCTCCGTAGAATCGCAAATGTCTGGAATAATCTTTGGGGATGTCTGGAATCTACATCAGCTCCTCCACGCTCCGTCTCAAATCCAAGTCGGGAATGTCATTTTCAATCTCCATCGTCCAGCACAAGAACGAGCACCTTAGGCCGCTGCCATAGTGAGAGCGAAGAGGCGCACGAAGCGTGAAATCGAATGAAAGGAATAATATCAATAATAGGATTTCTTTTATATAGAACGCTGAGCGTGCCTCTTCGCTCTCACTATGGCAGCGGCCTTAGATGATGAAGACGAAGGCTCCTTGGGTTTGTACCAAGGTTGTAAAGGCTCATTTCAGCTAAAATAATGTTTTTCGGAATAATAAAACAAAAAGATGGTATGATGGCATGTTTTACTTGTAGCTTACAAGAAGAGGTTACAAAGTATGCGTTGGAAACATAAAACCTGTAAATTTTGCTTTCTATGAGTCACAATCAGCGATTTGCTGATCGCTGAGTGAGTGAGCGAGTGAGTGAGTGAGTTTGTGAAAAATCGCTGATTGTGACTCTCATAAAGTGAAATAAACAGGTTTAATATGTCAAACACATTCTTTGCAACCTCTTCTTGTGTCCTACCAATTCAAAATTTGATCATGGCATCTAATTATTTCATAATTTAGAAAAACATTGTTTTAGCTGAAATGAGACTTTGCAACCTTGGTTTGTACACTAGACCAGTACGCCAGTACTTGCCCAGAAAAGGCTAGCAAGCAAGATTTTGGTACGTCATTTGTCGTATTCCGGAGACGTCCCTTGGGATTATGGAGACATCGGATTATCGAGTGTTGCATTAGCAGGGAAGTACTGTATGCCTATTACCTTCTTCTTTATTCTTCTATGTATTGTAAACCTGATTGTAGATGGTGATGATTAGTTTTCTGTTAAACACAAAGAATGGAAACTAATACTCCGACAACCACAAACAATCCGGAAGCCCTTCTCATTGCACTAGCACCATCGCCGTCATCTTCCGCTGTGGTACCTCGCTCCGTGGTGGTTGTTATCTCCTGTGGTGGCAATTTCGGGTTGAAAAATTCGAAACCCTCATGATTGAAAGCATAAATGGCAAACGTCTGGAGGTCATCTGTCGTGCCTGCAAGAGTGAGCTGAACGTGCTGTCGATCGCTTGGATAACTGTAAAGTAACGACGCTCGATTAGATAAGCCCTGGTTACGTTTACTATTTAATCACTCACTCGACAGTTGAATGGAACAGATACCGATCCGCATCCAGTGAGTGGAACTTATCATCCAGGCTGCTCGGCATAGCAAGTGTTCCATTGGCGATGAAGTCACCGGAGATGGAAATTTGGTCAAACTCGAAGAAGTGTGAGTTTTCGTACATAGGAAGTCCACAACTTGCTAGGCTTTCGTTGCGACAGGTGATAATTCCGCAGATGGTGACATGTGCATCGGCGTACCCCTGAAACGTGCGAACTCCGTCAAATACGGCCAGCCGGTACCGGTGACTAATGTTCCGATGAAAATCTGTGGAAAAACTGACACGGAAGTCACAGCAGAAGTCACCGTTGCAAAGAGTGCGGTTGAAGTCCTGGTGAACTTGTTCAGGTTTGATTACAACGGTGCTAAATCGGTCTAGGAAATCTTGACCCATGACGATGTTCTCTAGGAAATTTCCCTCGGGACGACCAGAAACTATTTCGGAATTGTCAGACAGAACTGTGTTTGGAGCGAGACTTCCATGAATTTTGGGAACCCGGACTGGGAAGAGTTTTCTGAAATGACCTCTTTTGAAATTGAATCCTAACAATCAGATTGTCAATCATACCTGGTGGGCTCCCCGGTTATAAAGCCAAACACAGCTCCGTTGCGTCCATTGAAAACGCCGGTTCCAGTGCTTCCAGCCGGATCGTAGTTCGTCCCTGCGGCAATCAGATTCACGTGGTTTCCATAGGCCCAACTTTCGAAGATCTGCACGGCCGTCAGGAATGGAGGTTCAGAAACCCACATAGCCGGAAATACAAAGTCTTTAACGCCGTGCTTAACCAATTCAAGTGCCGGCTCGGCAAACAGTAGATCGAAACAGGTGAATACCCCGAACGTGACCCCGAAGTCGGTATCGAATGTGACGATCTCCGGCCGGAAGGTGACGCTCGTTCCCGGTTCTCTGAAGATATTGAACTTACGGTAGCGTGCTACCAGGGTTCCGTTTCTGTCGAATACTACGTTGGTGTTGTAACGGTGGTATGCGGCTGGATCGCAAGGTCGAAGATCTTCCGGTGGCAGTGAATCACAGTCGAACGATTCGGACAAGTTGATTACGATGTACTTGCCGGTTTCGATGGCCAGACAGGATAACTGGGCGAGGAGGTCCGGAGAGTCTTGTACGCAAGGAATAATGGCATCTTGAGGGTCCGGCACGGGGATGGGATCCATGAGGGTGTTGAGCGTCAGCTCCGGAAATACTACGATGTCGGTTAGCTGTTTTTTTTATTGATGGTCATGTATTAAGTTTGTTGAATGATTCGTGAAGACCACCTTACCTTCGCTTCTTCAGATCGCATGAGCTCCTTGTAAGCTTGCAGATGTATCCCGGTTCGGGTTGCTATATCCATGTTGAGCAATTCCGGCCTGAACTCAACGACGCCAACCACGTAGTAATCGCCTTCGGGATGCGATTGTTCTCGATATCCATCGTCAATTGCATCCAAATAGTTCAAACATTTCAACAGAAATACGACCGCCAGAAATTTTTCGATCATTGTCGCAATGCGTTGGAGCTTCTCCAAACAAACACTTATATGTACTAGAGTTATCAATTGGGCAGCATTAGATTGCTACCTATTGATATAAAACCCAATTCAGTTCTTATCTTATTATCTTATCTTATATTCTTATCTTATCGTGAAGTTAACGATTTACATAGGGTTGATGCATATATTATGTCACGCTCTAAGAGGGGAGGGGGGTCTAAGATTTTGTGACAAGCAATGCATTAGGTATAGGAAAAATGTCACGATAGGGGGGAGGGGGTAATTTTTTGCTCGATTTAGCGTGACATAATTAATGCATGGGCCCATAGTTGGAGATGGTTAACGTCAAATATCAGCCTTAAAGTGGACATTTTATACAATCGTACAAATCAGTGCATTTTGACCTCGATGTTGACGGTTCGTTTGGACCAACTTTAGACAGACGGCCATACTTTTACTTAGAGGACTTTACCCTACCCGTGTCTCCTTGAGATCGTTAATTTGACGATGACAGGAACACATACAGTGGTAGAGGCAACAATAGCTGCAATTTCCGACTAGATGCTTAAGTGGACCCTACACGATAGCTTTTATTGACAATATTCGTATTGTCAATAAATTATACATTGACATCAATACCTCGGTATTGACAATATTTCTGTATTCACATCATCAATATTATTGTCAATAATTCTCCTTCGCGTCAATATATTGAAACGTGTGGGGTTCGCTTTACGTCATATCGCGACTTGAGTGTGAATCAATCGATAGAACTATTTCCGAATATGATTGACATCGGTGCCCTTCCCTTTCATGAAATATTTCGTACCATCCACCCTCCAGCGAAATATTTCAATAACTGAGTACGTCCCTGATGGCTCTTTCATCAACGCCGATGAGTCAGTCGCGAACTGTCAAAATCGCTTTGAAAACGGATCGTGAAAAGTAAAAACACACGCTCTCGCTAAAGTCGTGAAATTTTCCCGTGAAATTCGTGCGTCTCGTGCAGTTTTGTCGGTGCAATTCGTAATTTTCGCCATTTCAAATCCTTCTCCACTCGAGGATAATAAAATCTTGATCTTTTCAGGCGCTGCGTTCCGATTTTTAGGGAATTCCTGAAAAGTCCTCTTCCTGGTGCAGGTCAGCAGCACAAAGGCAGAGAGAGTGAACGGGCGAGAGTGTGAGAGAAAACCTTACGAACCTGTCAGGTTATTTTTGTTTATTTTTACGCGTGCCGTCGCCGCCGCTACCACCACTGCTCAGCTGTTGGTATTCTACGGAAGAAAAAAAAAACTAGTTTACCGGGTCACCAAATATCAAAACATGACTAACCAGTACGTTAGCCCGCTCTCGATTGCGGTCATTTGCTCCTCGAACATGAACCGCTCGATGGAAGCGCACGGGTTCCTGTCGAAGAAACGCTTCAAGGTACGCTCGTTCGGAACCGGCGACAAGGTAAAGCTCCCGGGCACGGCAGCCGACAAGCCGAACATTTACGACTTTGGGACCAGCTACGATGACATCTACTCCGATCTGGCCAGCAAAGACAAACAATAGTATCCTTTATGTGAGGGGGTTGTTGGGAATATTTTTGTTCTGAATCGTTTTAGGTCCCTGCGGCAGGCCAAGGAAGACGTCGGAATTCGTCAATGGATTGCTTATTTTGCTTTTAATTTCAGCATTTGGTACACACTATCAAATTAAGCAGTTTAAAGGACAAGAAAGAATATTTTCATTTTCACTAGCTCACTAGCTAGACATAATTTTTCTAGTTCATCATTTTCATTCTCTTCGTATTTGGGGGAAACGTAGAAAGTGGGGTTATGTTATGATCGATGGGAACAGTAGCGCCATCTATGGACGGGTAGCGAAATCTAGCTCGATAGTTTTACCGTTCGAACGCAGATGGCATTTTGGTCAAATTGAATTTGGCGCGCAGAAAGCCGAACACGTGTTTCCGATTTTGTTCTTCGGTATCAATATACAATTTTCCTTAACCAAAAAAAAAAAAAATTAGCTACACACAAAATGGTCTCTTACACATGTTGGACCGTAATCGGCGCATCAAACCTAGTCCGGAAAAGTTTCAGATCTGCACCGAACGCTTCGACGTTTTGGTTACGTGCGAGGAGCGTGTTTACGATCAGGTTTGTGCCACGCCCTGAAATCCAGCATCGTTTCGTGAAGATTCATTCATTTCTCATTATGTATTCCGCATCGAACCAAACAGGTGATAGAATTTATGGAATCGAAAACCCCGACCTACAACCTACCGGTGCATGTGATTAACATCGACATCCAGGATAACCACGAGGAAGCGACCTTGGGTGCATTTGCGATATGTGATCTGATAACCATGGTAAGTGAGAAGGACGATTTTCGGGTGACCTATTCTATCGTTAGGGTATTGAGAGTAGTGGTGGCGAAAAATAAAACCAAACACTGCAGTTTCGAGTACCACCGCCACCAAACCCATGGACAATCCGAGGCAGAATGTTGTACCGAAAACGGCTTCAATAAACATTTTCCTGCTGCACAATCTGGCTGTCTTTTATCTGAAAAGCTATGTCTACCGATGATGGGACTTCGTCTTCTTCCAACTTCGTAAAGCACAAGATAGAAATAATGGGATTCGTCTCATTCGTTCCGTTTCATGGAGTCTCTATCTGTCTTCGCTTATTCCTACCGACGAGAAACTTCAATATAATCCAGGTTGTAATTATTTACTGATATTTTGATCCCGCTTTTAATATCTTTTCAAAAGTTATTATCTCTGCTAAGATGCGCCCATTCTGTAATCTGAACTGGAGTTGCTTGAGGGAAAATTTGCGATCATGCATCAGAACCCTAGCCCTCACCCATATTCTTGTTTTCGTTCGAAACGTGTTTCCCTTACAAAAAAAAAAAATGTTTTGAACAGGAAATTCGCTTTAAACGGAATACAGAATTGGGGTGATAAGCTATTGGCAAATCAAAGTTGGTACTCGTGGAGAATAGAAGAACTATGGAAGTGATGATGGTTTCAAAATTTTACACGGTGAGTATACGAGTTCAATCTTAAAATTCTTATATTTTGTAAATGGACCATTTTATTCAAATCTGTAGAAAACTTAAGAACTACTTAATAGACACATAATATAGAAAAAATAATTTATTTCCAGAGTTTTAGGTGTATACATAGATTTCAGCTTTTCTTCCACTGTAGCAGCAACCAGATTTAAATAAAATGCTCCATTTACAAAATAAAAGCATTTTAAAATTGCACTCGTATACCTCTGCGTGGAAAATTTTGAAACCATCATCACTTTCATAGTTCGTCTATTCTCCACGAGTGCCAACTTTGATTTGCCAATTAGGTTGCCGCAAAGCTTCGATACGTATATTGGCAAATCAAAGTTGGCACTCGTGGAGAATAGAAGAACTATGAGAGTGATGATGGTTTCAAAATTTTACACGGTGAGGTATACGAGTGCAATCTTAAAATGCTTTTATTTTGCAAATGGAGCATTTTATTTAAATCTGGTTGATGCTATGTTAGTAGAAAACATAAGGACTACTCAATAGACAAATAATACAGAAAAATTAATTTCTTTTCAGATTTTTAGGTGTACACATAGATTTGAGCTTTTCTACCACTGTAGCAGCAACCAGATTTAAATAAAATGTTCCATTTGCAAAATAAAAGCATTTTAAGATTGCATTCGTATACTTCCCCGGGGAAAATTTTGAAACCATCATCACTGTTATAGTTCTTCTATTCTCCACGAGTGCCAACTTTGATTTGCCAATACTGTGCTGTTCGATATAACAGCAGCGGATTTGACGACAAGTGTCCATGGTGTCGGATAGCTGTTTCTCCTACGATCCTCTAAATCAGTCTATATAGGGGGGTTCTGCGAGTTGTGTGCGGTTACTCCGCACAAATCAAATGGAGGGTCAGTCGCAGAAGGGTAGTATCACAAACGAATTGACAGACGGAGCGGCTCGAAAACTTTGGTGACGAACCTGCTATTGCAATTTTTCAGTGTACCAAATGGCAACACCACTACTACTGGAATGTACCACATGGCCTAAAGTACTGGAATGTTTTGGTTCTATCTCTTTCACTCTACTCAAAACTGAAATGCATAAAAAATGACAAAATGATACACTCTTTGCACACTCTCAAAGATCATTGCACACAAAATCAACTTTGTTCAAATCAAAACAAAAATACTACCCCATCTGGTGGATGATGGCACAAGCTTTTAAGAAAATTTTATAACCACAGACAAACAGACGTAACTCTTCATTGTGTATCTTCGTTCATGCATTTAACGGTTGATTTGAATACAATCAGTTCCGCGAACTACTCGCCGCAGCGCTGGCATCGGTTCACTTTGACGTTTCTATATATTCTATAGAACTTTTATGCAATATTGTTTACGAGTTAGCGAGCAAGCTTGTTTTCCGCGAGAAGCCAGAGAGATGTCGTTACTGAGGTTATATGTTTTGAGATACTATGTTTTCAAGAACAAGTTTTTCAAAGAGTTACGTCTGTTTGTCTGTGCTATTACAGTGAACCACATTATTTTAATAGTTTTCTTCGCCAGTTAGTCGTCTGTACCTTTGTTTGTGGTAGTATCATAGAGGTAACTCTAAGACTAGAAGGTCCCGAAGAAACGTGCTCAACTTTTTGGCTCAGCTCTGCTACTATCTTCGGTCCCAAACTAATCGGAAAGAAAAATCCACGAACCCCTCATTTTATCTGTCAAACTTTCATAGCGAATCAAAACAAACATAGTGTAGTACTAGAATGTCAACAGAATGGGGTATCTTATTCGATTTGCTTGGGACCAATAGGCAAGTCAAGTAGTGAGCCAATTTAAAATTGATTGTTTCCACCTGTTGGTAGTAGCAGAAACGAAGTGACAGGCTCGAAATTTGATTTGACGCACTCCCGCATAAACAATAACCATAAGAAGCGCCTAACCACCAATTCGGGATATCATCCCAATTTTATGTGGTATGGTCGCACCATCTAAGATATCGTCAGTATATGGTACACGTTTATTCGGGCTTACATTTGAAATTTTCGAGTATACCTCACGGCAACACTATCTACTCATACTAGCTTAAAATAGTTGATGCTATTGAGGTACCGCCTGTTATCTCTTTTTCTCTAACGAAAATTGAAAGGGAGAGCCTGTTGTCAAACAGCATGACATTATGTTGCTTTCGTTGTTATCTGCACTTTTTTGTATAATGAAATACAATGGGCCAAAATTATTATGGGTGCACACTTCAGGCACAAACGAAGTGACAGACGACTTACTGGCGAAGAAATCCATTAAAATAATGTGGTTCACTGTAATAGAATTTTCTTGGAAGCTTGTGCCATCATCCACCAGATGGGTTAGTTTTTTTGTTTTGATTTGAACAAAGTTGATTTTGTGTACAATGATTCTTTGACAGTGTGCAAAGAGTGCGTATCATTTTGTCATTTTTTTATGCATTTCAGTTTTGAGTAGAGTGAAAGAGATAGAACCAAAACATTCTAATACATTTGGTGAAAATGCTAGTACAATCCAGTAGTAGTGTTGCCATGTGGTACAATCTAGTAGTAGTGGTGTTGCCATGTGGTACACTGAAAAATTGCAATAGAAGGTTAGTCACCAAAGTTTTCGAGCCGCTCCGTCTGTCACTTCGTTTGTGCTTCAGGCACAAACGAAGTGACAGACGACTAACTGGCGAAGAAATCCATTTAAATAATGTGGTTCACTGTAATAGAATTTTCTTTGAAGCTTGTGCCATCATCCACCAGATGGGTTAGTTTTTTTGTTTTGATTTGAACAAAGTTGATTTTGTGTACAATGATTCTTTGAGTAGAGTGAAAGAGATAGAACCAAAACATACTAGTACATTTGGTGAAAATGCTAGTTCAATCTAGTAGTAGTGTTGTCATGTGGTACAATCCAGTAGTAGTCGTGTTGCCATGTGGTACACTGAAAAATTGAAATAGCAGGTTGGTCATCAAAGTTTTCGAGCCGCTCCGTCTGTCACTTCGTTTGTGACGAAACCAGGGGTTGAAACAGTTGACGTTTTTTACTACACTCGCTTCGTTGTCGTGCGCGACAGTCTGTTTGTATTCGAACACTCATGCTCTACCGTCGTCTCTCTCACACAACACGAGCGGTAGAATAACATTCGAGCTAAAAGAAAATTATCAAAATAGCTATCATTTGACATGTGTGATTTCGTTGTAATTCCTCAATTTGGTGTAAATCAAACCATTTCTGATCAGAAATATTATTACTAGGACATCATTGCTTGCTATTTTCAGAATTCACACAAGCACAACATCAGCAGCTCTTATTATGAGAAAAACTAAAATACATACATTGGTGACGGTCTTCGGCGACAGTGTCGTATGACAGAGCCTGTCATATGACATTTTAGTTTCGTACTGTACTATGATAGCTTGTTTTGCAAATGTCGGAGGCAAAGGCAGTCAATTATTACAGAAAATGTGTCGACTACCGTGACCGCTTACAAGACTGGACGAAACTATCGATTTGAAATTGGCTCACTACTTGACTAGCCTATTGGTCCCAAGCAAACGATTAACGTACCCCATCCTAGTCAAAATTGTAGTACTACGCAATGTTTGTTTCGATGCGCTATGAAAGTTTGACAGATAATTTGAGGGGTTAGTGTATTTTCCTATGTGAATCGATTAGCTTGGGACCGAAGAGAGTACCAGAGCTGAGCCAACAAGTTTTTTTTTTTTTTTTTTGGTTTGTTTTTTCCGTCGATCTTGTTTTCCGTGCTGAGCACCAATGCTACCGACGTGCCAGGAAGGCAGCTCCCACACCTGGACCCTACCTATCGACCCATCAACTCATGAACCGGGGACCAACGGCTTTACTTCCCATCCGAAGGAAGGCGTGATCAGAGATGTTATGCCTCAGAACATCCCGGCGGCGCCGACTGGGATTGAACCCAGGCCTGCTGGGGTGAGAGGTAATCACGCTTACCACTACACCACCGGCGCCGTTAGGCCGTAGTGTTGCCGCACGAGCTCGTACTTTGGACAAACGCAGAGGATATGCTCGACGATGGCTGGAATATTACAGACGACGCAGGTCTTGCGGAAAACTCCTCCGCCGGAATCGTGTGAGAGCCGGGTGTGACCTGTGCGAAGCCTGGAAATGACTCGTTGCTCATTCGGCGTTCGGATGTGAGTACGAGGTATTTCGCTGCGATCGAAACCCGTACAATAGTCGAAAGTCCACTGGTGGCGGTGTCCTGATTGCTGTTCGGTCCGAGTTGAATGCTCGCTGGTGTTTCGTGGAAACCTTCCCACAGTGGCTTTCTCTTTCCGGACCCCGCTGGTTCTGCTTTCCATCCTGGATCAGTTAGCCTTCTCGACAGCTATAGCGCAGCGACGTTATCTCAAATCAATCCCGTGGTTAACGAGAACAATCGTAGCTTAGACCTCTGTCTCGTCGGCTCCTTCTCCACTCGTAAAGGAAGTTCCTCATCATCCTCCTTTGTTTA